CACGAACTAACCTCAAACCTCAACAAACCCAGCAGAAACGATGTGAACAGACACGATTTTCCAACGAAACCTCGAATTTACGCAGGAAGGTCTTTAGCGAGAGCGTGTCCTGTGACACAGGCTGAATTCGGGGAGTTAAAATCGGTCTTGGTGTCAGCGTCCGTGTCAAGCTAATAAAACGGGTGTTACCTGACACCGGAATTAGCGCCGTCCTGACACAGAGAGATAAAATCGGCCCTAATGGTAGTCCGTTGAGGCTATGCTGATTGTGGGCAAGAATGAAAGTGTCCCCACAACTGCGATTTACTTTCACTGTTCGGGGTTGCTCATTTTCTCTGATTATGCGAATATTAAATTTGTGTGAGGATTTGACACTTATTAAAAAAGAGTTGGTGTATTATTTCTGTTTGAACTGTTTTTTTCAAGTGCCTGCATTGACTTAATTCAAGAGGGTTGTCAATATTGATCCGAACAAGGCTCGATTCCACGAAAATTACATCTTTCTGGAAGAAATTTTTGGGCAAAAGTTTGCGATATAGAATTGCAACGTTTTTGGGGGCGCTTAAAGAGAGTTTTTCTGAGAGTTGAATAGACGGTCCCTCAAATTTCCTTCCGATCCATGAAAAAAGTCACCGGAAAAAACCGCGGATGATCCGGATCGACGAGAATTGAGACACTCCTTAAATTAATTTCCCTGTGCAGATGAATGCGTTCATGAATGAGCTAGAGATGGTGGTTATTCATTGCTAAATGAAGTCTGATTTTCATTCGGGCCATTCCCTGTCAATTGGAATACATTTTACAATAAGGAACCAATATTTCTGGCCAATTTTGGAAACAACATACATGTCATCGGTTTCCATATGCGGATATGTGCTTTTATGGGATAGCCAGAGATAGTGGTTCCCTATTGCAAAATTTTTTGATGAGACTTGGTGGGCACAGAGAAGCATATCGACGGTGTAAGTCGGCAATCACATAACTCGGTTTGCGACGTCGCAGACTTCCTGTCATGCTTTATTTTTTAAACGGAAAACTACTCAACGGCAATTCTTTAAAACTGCCGTGATTTTTCTTCTCTGTGAGAAGAAAATTCTGCATAAACTTCAAGGAATGACGTCAATTTGTTCTCCTTTATAAAAATAACAAAGAGGCGGAGATTTTTAGACACCTCAAACGAGATATGTGATTGCGGACTTACGCCGTCGATATGATGGTATGACCATCACAAAATTTCAGCTTTCTATTACCGATAGAACCGGAGTTACGAGGGTTCAAAGATGACAGAAAAACCTCGGGGCCAAGGGGCCCTTCAATTGAAAAAAAAAATCGTAACTCTGGTTCTAATCAAGCTACAAGGCTCAACTTCGGCTTATTTTAAAGCTCTTCAACTCAGTTGAAAACTTGGTAAATGATGTCATTTTTGAAATTAAGGGGTAGATCGAATATATTTGATAGTCTGGAGGTCATGAGTTGCACACAAATCCGAGCTTTCAAACATTTCGGCTCATTTTGAGAACACCAATATAGACCCTCTTCAGCCGCACCCTTTCGAATAATTCGTTTTCCATCGATTCAAATAATTGGAAGCCCGCCAATATTGGCCCGCGTGACAAGAACCGGTCTCTTTAGGCCATTGTTTTCTTCGTTCGAGGTGTCGTCCATGTGAGAAGCAAGAAGCGATATTCGTCTATTGAACTTGGAGACCTTGAACTGAGAATGAAACGGCAAACGAGATCGCTTCATCTGTTTTTTGCGAAGATAGCAGCAAAAAGGCGGAGAATGAGTCGGAATGTCCGGAGAAGCATGCTTCGAGTACCGACGAGTGTTTACCGCTTGTCGCAAAAAAACATTACACGGAGCGGCGCAAGAGAAAATCCTCTCTTCACGATACACAAACTTCGTTGAAGAGTTAAATCGATAGAATTTTCATTGCACCAGCTCAATGAAAAAATAAAGGACAAGTAGACAAGTTACGGATTCAAGCATTTAGAATCAGGGTTGCCACAGAATTTAGAAAATGAAATTCCCTGATTTCCTTTACACATTTTGGTGGAATTCCCTGACAGTTGGAGATGTGACGGATGGTTTAGAAAGGCATAATTGAAAATAGTTTCCAGGCAAAATTTGTTGTTAGAAATCTCAATCCCGTCCTGGAAAGCAATTGAAAGTGATTTAACAAATTTTCCCTGACATTTTCGTCATTTTCCCTGACATTTCCCGGTTTTCCCTGACTTTTTAAAATTCCCTGACATTTCCCGGTTTTCCCTGACTGTGGCATTCCTGTTAGATACGAGTTCGTCCTCTTTGAAATTTCCCGTACAAAACGATCTACGGAACGAAAATTACTGAAATCAATCAATGCCCAACCAAGATATCAACGATATGGATGTATTTCTATCAAACGGAACTATGTGTATTGAGACATGAGCCCTCAGACCCATAAGAATACATGCATAACAGGGCTCACATCATAATGCACTTAGTTCCGTTTGGCAGAAATACGTCCATATTGTCCTTGTCTATTGGTCCATTCGCGATGACACCCAAAAAGTGAAAGGGCTGAGGTGGAAATCAAATTTTTCAGTGCTGCGACAAACTGATTTGTGGTCATTAATAAGTTCCAATTTCAAGTCCTTGATCCTGTACGATTCTCGATTTTTTAGTAGAAATTGGGCAAAACGAGCCATCATTTCCAGCGTGGATTAAGCTACACGCATTCTAAAAGACTGAACCTGGCAACAAAGTGGAAATTTACATTTTTCAGTGCAGCGACAAAACTGGTTTATGGTCAGTAATATGTACCAATTTCCAATTCTCGATCTTCAACGATTTTCGATTCGCATTCTTTAGAGGAAAATCGGTCATCATTTCCATCGTCGATTAGCAGGGTTGCTACAGAATTTAGAGAATGAAATTCCCTGACACATTTTTGTGAAATTCCCTGACGATTGAAGATGTAACGGATGGTTGAGAAGGCATAATTAAAAATAGTTTTCGGGGAAATTTTCTTGTTCAAAATCTCAAACCCATTCTAGAAAGCAAATGAAGGTGATACAACGAATTTTCCCTAACAATTTTGTCATTTTCGTCATTTTCCCTAACATTCCCCGGTTTTCCCTGACTTTTTAAAATGCCCTGACATTTCCCGGTTTTCCCTGACTGTGGCAACGCTGGATTAGGCTACATGCATTCTAAAAGACTAATGAACTTGGGCATATCACCGTCGTTGAATTTAACCTACATTTTTCTCAAATTCCAAAATCGTTTTCTAATTTAGATGCTCTCACAACTTCACAAGGTCAATTCCTTTGGTTTTGGGGTATCCCTTGCCTCAATAAATGATGCAAAATCAATCCCTCTGCGCTACCGTGCTAACTCAAAGAGCAGTAAACCCATACGATCCCGTAAGTCCTCTAATTGGAAATTATAATTCCGCTTGTTTCGAAGAATAGAATACACCACATAAAAGGCAAAATCGAAGCATTTACGCGGCGGATTACTTCGGATTGATTTGCGACTTTTCTATAAGATTCCAAGTATTAAACATGCTGCATTTGCGTTTTACTGGTTACAAGATGGAAATCCTGCATAACTGCTGGCTAACTGAGCACGACGCGGCAGCAGTGCGGGTTTGTGTGTGTGTGACCCATCTCATTTTATTTTTTCCTACTGAAAGAGCTCTTCTGCCTAGCCTCTTCTAAATTGGAAAACCCCACTCTTTTCCTTTTCAATACTTTTAAATTGAAAATATAAAATTTTCACGGACGGAGATATCAGTCTTATCAAATAGCATTTCCTTCAAATAAGACCTGGTAGTTACCACCTACACCGACCATACCTGAAGATTCGATCTCATGCAAGGGCGTTGACTTGAATGGCGTTGTAAATTTTTACATGAGTCCTGGTGGGAATTCGTAAAAAGAAAATTTTGAAGTGAAGAACTGAAGTTTTTCGATTCAGGACTTTTCAACTTGAAGTTTGCAAGCGACATTCCTTCTTCTGTCAAATTTTACTTTTAAGGGTCAAAAATTGCTCTCGTCAAACCTTGCCCATAAGCGTGCGGGTATCCTTACGACCAGTTTCGCAACCTCAACACCAATATTCAAGTTTCCTCTGTTTAGAAGGTATTTGACCTGGCTCATTTCTCTCAAATTCACACTATTAAAAATTTTGGAGTGAAAGTCTGTGCCGGAGTCTATACAGCGCCCAAAAACCCCGAGTGATATGTAAGCGAAGCAGAATCTATTCTCCTCACTGAGTGACTTACACTATTACGGAGCGGAGTCTTCTCTTTTGGCGGAGCGTCATACGCTTTTATGGTGCTAATTTCACTTCGCATTCATATCACTCGGGGTTTTTCGGCGCTATAAAGACTCTGGCACCGAATTTCACTCCTCGATTTTTAAAACTCCGGCATACTGCCGGGCTAAGGAAAAACGCCGTATGAACCATCAGGCGTTGCCAGATTTCCTTCTACAAATCACGAATTTTCAGGAAAATCTGTAGATATTTCTCCTCAAATTTGTCACAGGATTTCGTTCGTAGTTTGATGTAAAAATTCTGGAAATTTTAAGGAAAAATATTCATAACTTTTTTCCCTCAAAAATGAACATTTTATCGAAGGAAATTTGGCAACTCTCGAATGTTCATACGGCGTTCTTCCTTAGCACGGCAGCATACCTCCAGGGTGTCTACTAAAGCAGTCTGGCCAAAAATCAGTACTTTTACACTACTTTTTCAGTACATTCCCAAGAGATTCAGTACCCCCTCAACAGAAAAATTCAGTACTTTTTCAGTACTCTATTTGATGAGATTCGAAAAATTTGAATTTCTCACTTAGTGTGCGACAAAAATGACAAAAAAATGAAATAAATTCCGGGCCTTCTTTCGGAATTTTCGCACTGTTTCAGTACTCCCGGACCGCCCTTAATCAGTACTATTTCCGGACTTGTAGACACCCTGATCTCTGATAAACGGGGGCTAAAAACTGGACAAACCTCGAAAGCTGAATCTGCGCTGACGGTCTGAACATCCATCGCACAATTTTCACACACAGTCACACTAAAAACTTAACCACGAATATTCAAAAAAAAAAAAGAAAGAAGAAAACGAGGCGCACGCGGCTACATGACTAGAACGGAAGCACCGAGGAAACGGTTTCGAGAAACGTGGCGGATATGAAACTCAAACCCGAACTATACCATAACTAATGCCACCAAGCACAGATGAATTTTGAAAAAAAGCCTGTAGGTATAAATATACTTTGCTTATGATAGTATAAAGAGGAATTTGAGTGAAATTTCAAGAATAAGCGAGAGAAAAATTCGCGGGCGAGCGACGGGTCTGGACTGAGAAATTTTAGCGGGACGCCGAGTCGGATTGACCGATGATGATGCGCGGTGATAAGCGGTGCTCGTCATCGAGGCGACCAATTAAAAAACCGCTCGAGCCGCGCGAGCTGAAAATAGCTGATAATCAACGGACGCGAATGTGATACACCGCGCGCGCGGAGCCCTTTTCGCGCGCTGTTTGCTGTTTCCCGGAGCCGCCGCAGAGGGTGCTTATTTCTTCCCGGACGCCGCGCCGCGGTGCGTGGAGCGCCACCTCCTGCCGCAGCTAGCGCCCCTCGTCTCGTTTCCTGATTCATGTCGCTTGTAGCTTTTCACTCCCGTGACGGAGACAAACAGCCTTTCCAGTCGTTAATTTATCAAGAGTTTAGGACATTCTCCAGATCTGTAATGAGGGTGTCTACCAGTTTAAAAAAAAACAAAAAGAAGAAGAAAAAAACCAAATTTGGGGACATATAGGGGTGTATTTTCAACAAGGTGTCTAATTTTTTTCATTTTGGAAAATCCTGATTCATCCTGATTTATGACTGCTAAATCCTGTTTCCATAATTTTTCCAAATCCTGATCAAATCCTTATATTTCGCGGAGAAAAATTCATATCATATGAATAGCTCGATAAACAAATTCGATCGGACGGCCGACTTTTCTCAAATACTGATTTTATGACCGATATTTCCTCAAATCCTGATGAAATCTGCATTAAATCCTGATTGACCTCGAATCCTGATGGAATCGGGAAAACTGGGAAAATCCTGATGCTTCACACCCTGAAATTATTTGAACCGCGTTAACAGAAAGGAACCAAGCCACATCAGCTATTGCCAAGTTTAACTGGGCAATTTAATTTTTTGCATGAAAACGGTTGTGCGCATTAATGTGCAAATTTCAAGGAATTATCTGCACAGTACGAAGTAAATGCCGGACTAATTTCGAAGGATTCCGCACAAAGATTCTCTTGTAAAAATTGAAATTGCCTCGTTGGCGATAGCTAATGTAGCTCGGTTCTTTTCTGCTAAGCGCGGTTAATTTATGATAGTAGGAAGTAAACCGATCGGTTATTTCGCCGCCCTCCTGACATAAGGGCGTAACTAAACTCTGCCATGAACCCTGACATCCATACAACTCAATGCTTTTCCGGGATCATCTCAAAATGTAGTTACGCTCTTATGTCAGCCAAGCGACGAGTTAACCCACCTCATTTTCACACTACCGGTCGCGTGGTCGAGAAGTGTTTGCAGCGGGACACCAGGATTACCAGGAGGCGTTTTTCGTCGACATCTCAACATTGTCATTTTTCGAACCACTTTGAGAAAAATCTTGCGAAAAGAAAAAATTTCAAAAATACCGATCATCCCATTCTCAAACCACTTTGAGAAAAATCCCACGAAAATTTCAAAAGAAAAATTTAAAAATTCAAAAAATCTCGATCATCCCATTTTCAAAGCCCTTTGAGAGGAATTTCACAAAAACGTTGTCTCCGTGGGCCTGGGTCTGTTTTTCGGTGGGTGCACAGTTATAATTGGATTTTGCGGAGAGCTCTGTGGAAGGATGAAGCGGGAGTTAATACCCTGAGCATCCTTTCTGCAAGTTAATCGGACGGCAAGGTTGCGCTCTCGCTGGCCGGTGGCCGTGAGGCGTGATTCGCTACGCTGACGAGAAGTCCGGAGCCTAATATTGAAACCGAAAAACAGTGGAAAGTGGACCGGGACCGAGACCCATTCTCGGGACCTCATTGGCTCATTGTCACACGCGCCACGACGCGGCGGTGACGGTGTCCAGAAACGATCGTAGTCCGTCTCCCCTTGAACTTGCCCCAATTTTTCGCCTCTCCGGTCTCGTGCCGTACATCGCCCACTGCTGCCATTTCCCGAAATTAATTCTCATATTCGGAGATTTTCAAATAATCGGAAATTTTCCCGGAATCTTCAGAATCCCCGGAATTTTAAGCTCTTTTCGGAATTTCCTCGAAATTTGCGGTTTTTCGCCAGTTTGACCGTTTCTTGATCAAATTTGACGATCTTCGGCACTAACCAGGGCCGGATTTTCCTACTTGCCGTCCATGGGCCGCCTGTATTTTGCCGTCCCCTTCTCATCGGTTTTGAAACATCTATAAAAACAATCAAGTGAACGTACCGGCGAGGGAGGGGTGCATAAGACGCGTTTACTCGTGGTGAACACATTTTTTGGGAAAGTCCTGTCAACACTACTAGCAAAAGGTCACGGAACTAAGCGCGAAAGTCAAGTTTCGTAAACCTATCGCTAATGGGCAAGGCCTCCTATTCATAAGAAATGAACGAAAAAATTATGAGAGAACAAACACAAAATTTGGTTTAATGATTTTAACTTCCGCCGCCGCGCCGCGCCGACCGCACCGTGTTTGGCGCAATGCGTGAGGTACTCACGCAGTCTTGTAGGCGCTATGCGTTTCATGCTGACCGCACAGTGTTTGCCGCAATGCGTGAAGTATTCATGCATTCTTGTAGGCGCTATCCGTTTCGCGCTGACCACAATAACCGCACTGTGTTTGATGCAATGCGTGAAGTATTCATGCAGTCTTGTAGGCGCTAATATGTGTTACATGCCGATTGCCGCGCCGAGGGCTCCTCCTTTTCATCTCAAGTCCTCGTCATAATTTCTCCCTGTGTCCCGTTCCAGGCCAAATTGTGTGTTCGGTTTCTCTCTCAACTCGACTAATTGGACGTATTTCTGCCAAACGGAACTATGTGCATAAAGACATGAGCCCTGAGATTCATGAGGATTTGTGCATAACAGGGCTCACGTCATAATGCACATAGTTCTGTTTGATAGAAATACGTCCAATTAAAGGTGCTTTCTCTTGTATCACTGAAAGAAGACAAAATTAGAAATTACTTTACTCTCAGGAAATGAGAGATTTTGTAGCCTTTTCTCGTTTGTAATTTTTTTTCCTAAATCCGATTTTTATTACACCTGCATTTAAAAAAATTGCAAAATTTGCCGCCCCCTGGATTTGTTGTCATGGGCCGCGGTCCATGTGGCCACCCCCTTAATCCGGCCCTGGCACTAACAATAAATCCGGGCGTGATTCGGAATTTTCCCCCGGAATTTTTCTCGGAACTTTGGCAAATCGGAATATGTTTCTGGAAATTGGAATGATTTCGGTACCTTTTGATAAAATAAAATGGCAGCACTGTCGCGTCCAAAACCCTACGACTCACACTGGACCAAGTCAATAGGAGAGCGTGGACAAATTTTGGAAACTTTAAGAGACTATATCGCCGTTCATACAAGACTTTGAGGCTACAAGAGTGGTTTGAAATTTGAAATGTGACGGAATAAACATCAAAATTTGCAGTTTTAATCGAAAATTTCATGTCCGACCTCTCTGACTGACTCGTTCCACTGCGCGACTATACCAGTGTCTTTTAATGTACCTCGAGATTCTTTTGGAATGATGTAGATTTTTCACAGCTCTGGAAAGGTGAGGAGAAACATTAACACAGTTTCTTTTCTGAAGCCGAGTCGGCGTGGAACACGTTTAAAACTTTCACGATCCCGCAGCGGAAAGAGAAGAAATTCCCGATTTTCAACACAGATTCCTCGATTCCCGCGAAAAAGTATTCGTTCCCCGATAATTTCGGGGTTTTCTGTCTAGTTTCCGGCCATCGCGCTCTAGAACTTTAAAAGACGCCACAAATCCCGAAAAAGTAATAGCAATACAGAGGACCTAAAAAATCGATCGAAAAGAAGTTAGCATTGTCTTGCAAGTGTGTAGAATGGGCGTATGATGATGCAATAATTTCTGGTCGATGAAAAAGACTTCGGGTCAAATGTGGTCTTACACGTGTGTTTGTTTTTTGTCACATGGGTAAACATCCACACCACCCCATCGTCGGGACGAATATTATATCCTGATATCACACCATGAGGCGCGACTGATATCAACGGGTACGCAATACGAGAGCACGTGCCTCCAGATAGGTTAAGTGACTCGGACATTCTCGCTCATCGTTTGCTTTTTCGAGGAAGAGACAATTTATGACGAACTAACGATAGAAACGAAATTCAACTGGATACTGCCGTGCTAAGGAGGAACGCCGCATGAGCCTTCAGACGTTGCCAAATTTCCTTCGATAAAAACAGAATTTACTGGGAAAATTGTGAATATTTTTTCCCGAAAATTTCCGAAAATTTTGCACGCAATTTTATCTGAAATATGTGAAAGTTCTGGAGAGAAATATGCATGAATTTCGTAAAAAATACATGTTTTATCAGGGGAAATTGGACAACTCTCGAATTTTCATGGCGTTCTTCCTTGGCACGGCAGAATAATTGTAACCGGAGTGAACAGGTTCGAAGAACGGTCGCTTTGCAGTTTGCAGGGACGTCTAAATATCGTCGTCGCTCCTCTGACGTGAGGACGTATCCCAATTTCCGCGTGATGAGCCTTCAGACGTTGCCATATTTCCTTCAATAAAAAACTAATTCCCTGGGAGAGTACTTAAAATTCTTCATCCAATTTTTTTGCCGAGATTGTTGTGGTGCGTGATGTGATTGAGGTAGGTAAATCGGGAATAAGTCACGACTTGGTGTGAGGCCGGCCCCTCTTTTGCGGGGGATTGTTCTCGTTTTTGGCCCTTATGAACAGATTGAAGATGATCTGGAGGTAGGCGGGCGAATATTTGCCTATCTGATTGGAGGAGATGCTACGTGTGACGTCACGAATACCCTTGAGCATGCATCATATTTCGGGACAATGAACGGGAGCAATTAGCATAGACATTTCCGCGACAGGAAAAAACAGCATCAACATTCCAATGTTGCCAAATACATCAATAGGCGCACCTATGTCATGTTGCTAGGGGGGGCTTAGGGGCTGGCCCCCCTACCACCGGGGGGTCTGGAATGCTCCTCAGTTCAAAGGGGGGTCTGAGGGATTTTTTTTTGAGATTTAACTCTATTCGGACGCATTCGGAGGCTTCCGCGACGCAGCTTTTACATTTACTTCTGCCGAAAAATTAAGTTTATTTTTTAACTTTTC